AGGTTTTTTTTTCATGGAATCGTTAGAGTTTTTTTAAACATATTTTTCACTGCAAACAGAGAAAATTTTACTTCTTTCTTTACAATTTGGGTGTCTTTTATTTATGTTTCTTGCCTAATCACTCTGGTGAGAACTTCTAACACTATGTTGCATAGAAATGGCAAATGCCTGCCTCTGTGTCCTGTTTTTGATATTAGGGGAGTGTTTTCAGTATACAGTATGGTGTTAGCTGTGGGTCTTTCAGAGTCCTGGAGATGAGGATGGGAGATCTTGGATAATAATTTTAGAATTTTATCACAAGAAGATCCCAGGACTAGCATAACGCTCCACTTAACAAGTACCTATAAATACTTGCTGTGCTTATTTTCTGCTTTCCCGCCAGAGCCTCTCCTTACCCCTTTCCACCTTACTCTGTGCCCTGCAGTTCTACTAGCCTTTATGGACTTCACTGATGGATTCCTATGTCCTCTGATTTCTTATGATGTTGCCAATGGGAGGCACAGCACAAAGTTAGAGTGCAGGAGGAGAGTGAGGGTGGGTACTTATTCCCCATCCCCAGCCTCCCTCCCTGCTGAATCAACATGGGTCGACTGTGTACCTTTATGGAAGGCCTTTCATATGACTGCCGCCCCCCGCCCCCCACTGACTGCTGCTCCCTTAAGATTCTGGTAACTATTAGAAATGCCAGATATAGTATGCACCTAAAGTAAAAAAATAAAAATAAAAATAAAATAAAATAAAACAGATTCTGGTAACTATTATTTATTTTCTATTAAGGCCTAGGGATGGTAATGATGCTGTACCTCCCCTTAACCCTGTCCGTACCTTTGTAAATAATGCTTTAGGCTACATTCTGCCTAATTACCTTACGTCAGTGTTCCATCTGTTTCCTCTTGGAATCCTGACTGACAAGATACTTGCATACAAACTTCTCCAAACCACCTCCGTTCATTCATTCATTCATTTCCTCACTCGACAAATACATTTTTGATAATTAACTATATGCCAGACACAGTTCTAAGCGCTGAGGATAAAGCAGTTAACACATGAAAACTCTGTCCTCTCAGAATTTATATTTGGGCAGGGGAGAGGGACAAAGAAGTAAAATATATATACTATTATAAAGAATAAGCAAAATATTTTATCCTAGATGTGATCACTGCTGTGAAGCAAAAGAGTTGAAAGGGTGTAGGAAGCATGGCTAGAATTTTTGATAGGGTAGTCCAGGAGGGCGTCATTGAGAAAGCAGCATTTTAGCAAAGATCTGAAGGAGAGGAGAGGTCATGTCACTTGGCTATTTGGAAAAATACCAGGTAAAAGGGTCTTTTGGCAGGACCATGCCTACCCAAATCCAGAAATAGTGAGGTGGCCAATGTGGTTGGAACGAAGTAAGAAGAATGGCAGATGAAGTTGAAGTGATTGAGCCCACAAAATTGGCTAGTCTACTTATGATCTGAACATTAATAATAATGAAGATAAAGTGTTATGGGTCATGTGTCCAGGTCTCTGAAATCTCTATAGTTATCTGTACTTGATATGTTTGGCTCATTTCAACTCTGATCATCCTGTCCATAAAGAGAGCAAGAGCTCACCCAGTCAGCATTAGGTCAGCCTTGCTTCTCATTCAACTCTGATGTTGAAATCTAGTTCTGATAAATAGAGTTAGGCCTTGTCCAGTTGTGCACAAGCCCCAGCACTGCAGTCCACATCTGATAACTGGACCACTAGCTTTGGTATCACACAGAGGTCCCGATCTGATGGCCTGGGCCACTGCTTTCTGCCGTCCACTTCCCACCAGTGGACTCCATGGACCCCCTGCTACTGCCCCTGCTGGGTCCTTGCCTGTGCTGGCTCTGACCCAGTACAACTGCCTGCTTTCTGAGTTCTTGTCCGCCATCATTTGACCCATCCCATCACCAACGAGGTTTCCGGCTGTTTTTATCACTCTAAATTTTAAATTGTTTTTACTGCAAGAATTTCAGTTTTATTTGGTTGTAAAAGATAATTTTTTTGTTGTTGAGACAAAGTCCTGCTCGGTCGCCCAGACTGGAGTGCGGTGGCACAATCTCGGCTCACTGTAACCTCCGCCTCACAGGTTAAAGTGATTCTCTTGCCTCAGCCTCCCAAGTAGCTGGGATTACAGGTGCCCACCACCACATCCAGCTAATTTTTTGTATTTTTAGTAGAGACGGGGTTTCACCATGTTGGCCAGGCTGATCTTGAACTCCTGACCTCGTAATGTGCCCGCCTTGGCCCCCCCAAGTGCTGGGATTACAGGTGTGAGCCACCGCACCTGGCCTAAAACCCTATTCAGTCAGGTATCAGGCCTGTATTGATTCTCTGCTTTAATTGCACCTTCCCTACTATCCTTGTCTATTTTACTTTCTTTTTGTTTTGCTTCCTGCGGAATTTCTTTAATATTACATTCCAATCTTTATTTGATGTTTTTAGTTCAGCTGCCATAATTTTGTTTGAGGTTTTTATTCTCTCTTATATCCTAATTCCTGTTCTGTTTCATGAATGTAATGTCTTACTGTCTGATGATATTAATAAAGGATTTTAGAAGTTTTATTCTGGCTGGGTGCAGCATTAATAAAAGACTTAAAAGTTTTATTCTGGCTGGGCACAGTGGCTCATGCCTGAAATCCCATCACTTTGGGAGGCTGAGGCAGGTGGATCACTTGAACTCAAGAGTTTGAGACCAGCCTGGCCAACATGGTGAAACTTCATCTCTACTAAAAATACAAAAATTAGCTGGGCATGGTGGTAGGCACCTGTAATCCCGGCTACTTGGGAGGCTGAGGCACAAGAATCGCTTGAACCCAGGAGGCAGAGTTTACAGTGATCCAAGATCACTCCACTGCACTCCAGCCTGGGTGACAAAGTGAGACTCAGTCTCAAAATAATAATAATAATACAATGAAAGTTTTATTCTGTTCATCATTCCTGTTTCCCCTAACTTCTGTTCTTCTGGTATTTGTTCATTTGGGTCCATGTGTAGTGTAGCAGCTTTTCTTCAAATAACAGGTAATGCCTGGTGATCTAGTCCCATTCCAGAGGGAGAGACTGACAGCTCAGTAGGGCATCTGGGAGGATAGCCCAGGCTTGTCAGTTTGGGACTTCTCTATAGGACATTCAAGTGGCAAGCCAAATTAAAAAAAAAAAAAAAAATTCTTTTTGGAAGACTCCCAAAACAAGAATTCGAGAAGTTTTTTCTACAGTCTTTTGAGATTTCCCCAGTAGATAACCTCCTGCCTTTGGGTAGCCAGGAGAGTTAGGAGTAGAACAGAAGCCTGAGAGCAGAAACAATCTACAAACAGTTGAAGAAGGGCAGCAGGGATTTTGTTGCCTAGTATGCAGATTTAATTTTAACCCGCCCTCTCTTCCTCCCTTCTTCCTGTCAACTGAAAATAATCAAAAGGCTCAGGCTCCACTTAAAGGAGTTTATTCAAGCGCAAGTGTGAGGGTAGCAGACACCAAAAGATGGTGAGCCTCACTTCTTGGTGTGGGGAAAGGTGAAGATCATTCACATAAGCAAAAAACAGGGGTGCTGAACAAAACTATATTTTCCTTTCTTTCTTTTTTTTGGAGACACATTCTTGCTCTGTTGCCCAGGCCGGAGGGCAGTGGCATGATTTTGGCTCACTGCAACCTCCACCTCCCAGATTCAAGGGATTCTCAAGCCTCAGCCACCTGAGTAGCTGGGATAACACACATGCGTCACCACACCCGCCTGGCTAATTTTTTGTATTGTTAGTAGAGATGGAGTTTTGCCCTGTTGGCCAGGCTGGTCTTGAACTTCTGGTCTCAAGTGATCTGCCCGCCTTTGCCTCCCAAAGTGCTGGGATTGCAGGTATAAGCCACTGTGTCCAGCCAGAATTACAACATATTTTAATATAAGATAACACACGGGCCGGGTGCGGTGGCTTACGCCTGTAATCTCTTCACAACCGAAGTAAAACAGAAATGTTCGCATTTTTCTTTAAACACTCTCTTGAGTTAGCAATTTAATTTAAAATGTAAGTGAAAATCCATTCTCAAATCAATGCTAGCCATTTAATTTTGCTGACTTCTTGTGTTTCAGATTTGAAAATTAATGATCTCTTAGTAAAATCTTAAATGTTGATTTTCTTTTATGACCTGTGAAAGATGACACTTTCAGCAAAGTCTTAAGCATGCTAATAAAAATTCACTTTATTACTATTTTTTGTTGGATTTCATTGACCTATTTTGGGGTTAATCTTTTGGCCCTCACACATGCAGAATTCCTTCGAGTTCAATGGGTGTTATGTGCATGGAAGAACTTGAGAACTGGGCCTTTGGTTTATTTCTGAAATACTCGCTTGAATTGCCTCTGCTTAGTTTTCAAAAGGTGGCTTCCCGGATCTCTATTCATTTGTGCACTGTGCCCTCTCTTTCTCTTTGTAAATTTGGACAATTCATACCCCTACCCTCTCTTTGGTGTACAGAAGTTCTGGTCTATGAAGCACTGTTGCTTAGCAACAGGTTAACTGGCTCTTTCCCACTATGGTGGACTACAAAAACGCCGATCAGGACCTCCACAAACTTTTATTTATCGAGAAATACAGATGCAGTTTCTTATGCTGCATTACTGATGGGCCATATGGTGTCAACTCTATCTTTAAACTGCAGCAAGATAGAAATGTATGTTTCAAAATCAAATTTTTAAAAATTCACATTGGTATATTTGTTTGGCTTGGTTTTAAAATAATCCATTTATGGAAAAAAAGAGTGCTTTTAAAGACATATAGTACACATTCCCCCTGAATTAATTAATTAATTAACTAGTTTGAGACAAGAGTCTCACTCTGTCGCCCAGGCAAGAGTGCAGTGGTGTGATCTGGGGTCACTGCAACCTCTGCCTCCTTGGCTCAGGCCATCCTCCCACCTCAGCCTCTCAAGTAGCTGGGACCACAGATGCATGCCACCATGCCTGGGCAACTTCTTTTGTGTTTTTGGTAGAGACAGGGTTTCACCACGTTGCCCAGGCTCCTCTGGAATTCCTGAGCTGAAGCGGTCCACCTGTGTCGGCCACCCAAAGTGCTGGGATTACAGGCGTGAGCCACCTGCGCTTGGCCTCCCCCTGAATTTAAACAAGCAAACAAACAAAAACCAACCAACCAAACAAACAAAAAACCAGACACGCGTTTAAGCTGATGACAAAAATTTTTCCAAAATATCTTCTCCTACTAAAGTTTCCTTCAGATACATAGTGTTTGGAATAGAAGGAGGGTGGTAACAAAAAAAATCTTCCTATATCTTACATCAAGTTTAAACAGTGGGAGCCAATTTGGGATTCACAAATGCAGTACTATGACAGTTGGAGAAATCAAAACCTTTTAGAAAGCACCTCTAGGGAGTTCTAAGGTTATATTCCGTTGAACTGGGAAACAAATAAAGCTAAGGTAAAGTCTGGTAGTTTCTCATTCAGTAATAAAGATCCACAACGTGCAGATTCTTCACCTGCCAAGCAAACAGTTCTAAAAACCTCTTGGTAGGGAAGGAGATAAAAAATTATATTTAAGAACACCTGATTACCTACAAACAAAAATGAAAAACAACCCCTCAAGTTTAACTTTTATAAATTTGTTTAAGTTGCGGGACTTCTTGTACCGGCCAAGATGGAGTAGGCATAGAGCAGTTTAGTTTTCCCACGCATCAAAACTAAAGCTAATAATTCTTTTTTTTTTTTTTAAGATGGAGTCTTGTAGTGCAGGAGTGCAGTAGTGCAATCTCAGCTTGCTGCAACCTCCGCCTCCTGGATTTAAGTGATTCTCCTGACTCAGCCTCCTGAGTAGCTGGGATTACAGGCATGCACCACCACACCCGACTAATTTTTGTATCTTTAGTAGAGATGGGGTTTTCCCATGTTGGCCAGGCTGGTGTTGAACCCCTGACCTCAGGTGATCCACCCACCTCAGCCTCCCAAAAAAATCTAAGAATTCTAAACAAAACTAAATGCCAACTCACTGAGGTCTCTGGAAAGTAAATAATGGCAGGCGAATTGGAAGAAGGAGGGTAACAATACTTGAGGAAGCCACAAAACAGGCATGCATTTCCCAGTTTTCTGTACTCCTACCCCTTTCCGTTTTTTTTTTTGTCTGTTTGTTTGTTTTGTATTTTTTAGACAGAGTCTCTCTCTGTCACCCAGGCTGGAGTGCAGTGGCACAATTTTGGCTCACTGCAACCTCCGCCTCCTGGGTTCAAGCAATTCTCCTGCCTCGGCCTCCCAAGTAGCTGGGATTACAGGTGCCTGCCACCACACCTGGCTAATTTTGTATTTTTAGTAGAGACTGGGTTTTACCACGTTGGCCAGGCTGGTCTCGAAGTCTTTCTTTCTTTTTTTTTTTTTTTTTTTGAGACAGAGTCTTGCTCTGTCGCCCAGACTGGAGTGCAATGGCATGATCTTGGCTCACTGCAAGCACTACCTCTCTGGTTTAGGCAATGCTGCTGCCTCAGGCTCCCAAGTAGCTGGGATTACAGGCACTGCCACCATGCCCAGCTAATTTTTTTGGTATTTTTTAGTAGAGATGAGGTTTCACCGTGTTAGCCAGGATGGTCTCGAACTCCTGACCTCCTGATCCATCCACCTCGGCCTCCCAAAGTGTTGGGATTATAGGCGTGAGCCACTGCTCCCAGCCTCTAAATCTTGACCTCAGGTGATCTACCTGCCTCAGCCTCCCAACGCGGTGGGATTACAGGCATGAGCCACCTGACCCAGCCCCTTCCAGCTTGATATAAAGGTAGCCCCCCAAGTCAAGGAACTCCCAGTTGACATGTGCAGTAAAAACTCCAAGAAAAGTTCAGTCTTTCTGGTCAGAGGACCAGGAAAAGGAGCCCCTGTGAACCAAAGAATGCAGGGGGAACTCCCCCCCTCTCTCTCTCCCTTCCTCCCTCCCTCTATCTCTCTCTTTCTTTCTCTCTCCCTTTCTTTTTCTTTCCCAGCCCTGCTGTGAGGGAGACCCCAGTCATGCTACCATAAAGAGGCAGATGGGCAGTAAAACTCCAAGAGGTTTCTGTGAGCCAAGCAGCATGTGTCGAGGAATCCTAGAGAAGAGAGAGCTAGAGGAGGGAAATCCCTAGCACTGGGTATGGGCTGGCACAAGTCCTGGGCTCAGGCCTAAGCCACACATGCACAGACAGACACAAGAAGTGAACAGTGCCTTTTAAATTTGAAATGCCACTGGGACCACCACCACAGAAGGAGAGACAGTTGGTCATCTGAAGTTAACTGGATTGGTTATCTGCTTAAAATCAATTTTCTCCAGGGGATTTTAACAAGTTGCAGACTCTCAGGACTTGATATTCAAAACATCCAGGATTCAATCCAACATTACTAGATGCTGAAGGAGCCAGGTTAGTATGACCTATCCACAAGGAAAAAGACAACCAACATATGTCATTCCAAAAGTGACTCAGATGCTAGATCATCAGACAACTTAAAACACCTTTTATAATCACGCTCTTAAGATGAAAACAAAGGGCCAGGCATGGTGGCTAATGCCTGTAATCCCAGCACTTTGGGAGACCAAGGCAGGTGGATCACCTGGGGTTGAGAGTTTGAGACCAGCCTGGCCAACATGGTGAAACTCCATCTCTACCAAAAATACAAAAATTAGCTGTGCATGGTGGTATGCACCTGTAATCCCAGCTACTCAGGAGGCTGAGGTAGGAGAATTGCTTGAACCTGGGAGGCAGAGGTTGCAGTGACCTGTGGGTGATGGCTCAGTTCACCCACAGACAGCAAAGTGTGAATAGTGTGGCCTCCTCGTCTCCCAGTGATAAATCCACATGGCATTTTACACAAATGGATATTCAAAAGAGAAAATTGACCAACAAAAGTAGAAGTGCAGCAAAGAAACAAAAACTGTAAACACTGAAAGTGAATGCAAATCCAACATAAACGGGGTCACTGAAGAAGCACACTATGGGGATGTGAGCATTGCTCCGAGAAGGTGAATTCATCAAACAAATGAAGAAAGCAGTTGTGATGAAAAAGATGAAGATGTCCCAGAGAAAAGAACGTCAGCAAAAAGCTTCACGTTAAAGGGACTTGGAGATATTTCGTGACATTGAAAACAGAAAGGATAAAATATTGGAAACTGATCCAAACTTAGAAGGGGCACAACAAGTTTTTGAAACACAGCAAAGGAGCTTGCTTCATATCATAAGGTACATGATTTTTGAAGAAGGCAAACATTGTTCAAATGCCTGTTGATACGTTTTTTAGGAAGACATCAAACACTTTAATTCCCAGCATTGCTAATATTTTAAATACAGTGTACAAAAATACTAACTTTTTTTTTTTTTTTTTTTTTTTGAGAGGGGGGGTTTCTCTTGTTTTCCCCCTGGAGTGGAGTGGCGGGATCTCGGCTCACCGCAACCTCCACCTCCTGGGTTCAGGCAATTCTCCTGCCTCAGCCTCCTGAGTAGCTGGGATTACAGGCACGCACCACCATGCCCAGCTAATTTTTTGTATTTTTAGTAGAGACGGGGTTTCACCATGTTGACCAGGATGGTCTCGATCTCTTGACCTTGTGATCCACCCGCCTCGGCCTCCCAAAGTGCTGGGATTACAGGCTTGAGCCACCGCACCCGGCTTAAAAATACTAACTTTATTGTTTACCTATACATTTCTTTTTTCTCTTTTTTCTTTTTTGAGATGGAGTCTTGCCAGGCTGGAGTGCCGTGGCACAATCTCAGCTCACTGCAACCTCCGCCTCCCGGATTCAAGTGATTCTCCTGCCTCAGCCTCCCAAGTAGCTGGGACTACAGGCACGCGCCACCACGCCCAACTAATTTTTTGTATTTTTGGTAGAGACGGGGTTTCACCATATTGGCCAGGATGGTCTTGATCTCTTGACCTTGTGATCCATCCACCTTGGCCTCCCAAAGTGCTGGGATTACAGGCATGAGCCACCGCACTCGGCCTTCCTTATACATTTCTAACAGTACAATATTATCAATGTTTTGACAATTTTCAAAAGACACCAAAAAAAATCATAATTTTACCCACTGATTATTGTTAACAGCACAGGGCACAGTTTCAGCATGGAAGGTCATTTTTACAGTTCTGAATTGCAGTGCAAGGTGAGGACTGTCGCTGGGAGATGCTGGGTTCTGCTAAAATTCCCTAAAGAATTTTTTTTTTTTTCTGTTTTGTCAGGCAATCAACCTCGTTAGCCTCAGCCCACAGGTCCTGCGTTGCCTTCTGTTTGGTAGTGGTGGTCAGAATGTCAGTTCAGAGTGTGGCTGTGCTGCTTGGGCTCTGCGTCTGGTATGTGCAGCTCTGGGCTGAGCATGTAATTCAGCTCATGTACAGAATTAGAGAATTCTCTTTTCAGGTCTTTGCTCTTCAGGATTTCCCCCCAGTCTCCCTGGCACCCAGGGGGCCCCTTTTCCTCATCTGTGACTTAGAAAGATGGGCTTTCTCTCTGTTGATTACCTGCCCACACTGTCTGCTCATTTTGGCAAAAGGAACCCCCCTCAGGCAGAAAGCAGAGAGGAAAAAAAAAAGATGGATTTTTCCACATTCTTCAGACCATAGGATCATTTTTTCCTGCTTCCTCTGGCTGGAAAGACAGGTTTTCTCTCAGGGGTAGAGGTCACTGTGCCACTTCTCCATGACTAGGGTCATCTTTAGGTCAGGACTGAGAGAAAAAGTTTAAAAAAGAAAAAAAAAAAAAAAAACCCCAGAAATTATAGCCACACTTTCTAGCTTGCAGGGGCCCCATTTACCAGAATGTTTTAAGAAAGTTCCAGACTGTTTTCCCATCAGCTGTATATGAGGATTCCAGTTCCTCCACATCCTTCTCAGCAAACAAATTAACCTGATTTGGCATAGGATTTCTAGACCTGTAGGTTGTGGAAATGGCACAGTATGTTTTGAGGCCAGTAAGGAATTCCTGGGTTTCTTATGAGAATCTGTAGCTATTGGCCTCATAATAGTAAAGCGAATTTGTGGTATTAAATAAATGAAAAAAAAATGGCAAATAGTACGAATTAAAAGTTCTTGAGATGTTTGGGCTGACAAAGAGATTCATCATCTAAAGAGTGGCTTAAGATTTAGAAGGCATAGCTTTAGCCTCTTTGTCTTCTAAGGGCAGGCTATCTTCTTATAGGACAGGGTATAGCAAGTCTTACTAAATACGTAATAAACGTGTTGTTTGGGGATATTCAGCATTCCTTTTCCCTTCCTAAAGGTACTCAGCTTTCTTTGTCAGAAATTGTATATATTCATCTCTGAGAAGTCTGAGAAAAAATGAAAAAAGACATTGTGTATAGTTTTGGTGAGACTGTCAATCCAGGAATCTGTTTCCTCATAATAAAGTCAAAGAAACTACACTATTTTCACTGCCAGGCTGGTGACTCTTTACCTAAGTTTGGTTCATTCTACTCTTTTTTTTCCATGACTTTGAATCTTGAGAAAATGACTACAGGAAAAGATTGGAGTTCATTCATGTCATCAACAGCACCCTAGCTGTACTGTTACAAGTACCTGTCAATCTTAGTTCCCACCCATCCTTAATCCTAGTTCTTCAACTTTCATAAATTCATGAGTTCCTATCTTTGTAATAAATGACTTTTTTTTTTTTTTTGAGATAGGGCCTCACTGTTGCCCAGGCTGGAGTGCAGGTGGCATCATCTGGGCTCACTCCAACCTCCACCTCTTTGGCTGAAGCAGCCTTCCCACCTCAGCCTCCTGAGTAGATGGGACTATAGGTGCATACCACCACACCTAGCTAATTTTTGGATTTTTTAATAGACAATGGGTTTCATCATGTTGCCTCAAGAAAATGTCAGGATATGATTAAGTCTATCTTTTAACAGTGACATGTAACTGATTTAAAAATATTATGTAGTGCTTCCTAGCTTAACCAAACTGGAGGTGTGTTTTATGATGGGCTGTCTCATGAATAACCGCCAAAATCCTTTTTTTTTTGAGATGGAGTTTCGCTCTTGTTGCCGAGGCTGGAGTGCAATGGCGCGATCTCGACTCACTGCAACCTGTGCCTCCCGGGTTCAAGCTATTCTCCTGCCTCTCAAACAGCTGGGATTACAGGCATGCACCATCACTGATTTTTTTGTACTTTTAGCACAGACGGGGTTTATAGGTATGCACCCAGCTAATTTATTTTGCATTTTTAGTGGAGACGGGGTTTCTCCATGTTGGACAGGCTGGTCTTGAACTCCCAACCTCAGGTGATCTGACCGTCTCAGCCTCCCAAGGTGCTGGGATTACAGGCATGAGCCACTGTGCCCGGCTCAAACTTGATGCAGTAGATGGATGCCGCAGGTCCCTCAGTTCCCAGATTGGGCTGACTCTCCTTATACCACACCTGGGACCTGGGAGGAATGAGGAAGAGGCTTTTTTTTTTCCTGAGAATCCAGCAAAAATGTAGAACACTTCATGAATCTGCACAAGGAAGTGCCTTTTATAGGGCAGGACTTTCCCAGACTCAGACTATCGCTCCACCCTGAGTATTGCAGTAAATTTCTCCCTGACTTCCAAAGGTACTTGCATTCTTCCTGGAGCTCTAGTCAACCCTGACCTCTTCCTTTGGCACAAAGGTCACAGGCCTGAGCCACATCTCAGCTGTTTCCGGAAAAATGACTGTGTGCTCCCACCTATATTTGAGGTCCTAGGCTCCTCAGAAGGTCAGCTTCATGTGATCCAGGCTACTCAAGACTGGGACTAGAGTGTTTTCATATTCTGGTAAGAGAGACTTGCTTCTTCTGGACAGATCTTTATGGTTTACACAAATGGAACAGACCACTTAATAACAGCTAGTTTGTAAAGGTACATCTTAAAATGGCTTTGTACTTATGAGAATTCTTAATTTAAAAAACTAATTTGATTTATATCATCACTTTGTAAAATACAGTTTACTTCAAAAGATAATCCTGAAAATTCCATCAGGCAGTGTTTAAAGGATGACTATGAAGTTTTAGCCCTTGAGAGAGAATATATATTCAACTGAGTACTGTCTTTCAAAGCAGTCCCTGTCAATGTTTGTCCATTGATTCCACAGCAGCTCCTGTCGCCCATCCTGCTTGGGAAGCCTCTTGGAGAGTTGCCTAGAGAATCTACAGCCCTCATCTGAAAGCCGTCCATGACAACTCTTCTCTTCCATATATTTTTGCATCAGCCCAAAGCCATTTGGACACAAGTTTGGTGAACATGTTAAGAAAAAAAACCAAAACAAGCAACAAAAACAAAAAGCAGGCAGTGCTGCGTTAGACTGAAAATAAAAAATGAAAACTCTAAGAACCTATGAACCACGAGGGCAGTATTGGTTGCTTTCACCCATATGGTCTCTTTTGGTGTTCTGCTGACTCTTGTGAAGCAGTATCCCTGACAATGACCCTGGCTGAGAGGGCTGAGAACTGCCAAAAGTGATGCTGTTTATAAACGGTAGGGTCAGGACCCACACATGGGTGTGGTCTGACTGCAAAGTGCATGTGGAATTCAACGAGATGGGATTACCATCCCCACTGTGGAGGACAGTGTGATCTCTGGCAGGAGGGTTGGCTAGGCTACTTAGTTCCACAGGTCACATTGATCCCCTTCTCCTTTCTTTTTTCTATGCAAGTATACAATCTATTTGTCTACATGTCTGTCTACCTTGGTAGACTGGGCTCCTTGAAGAAGGGATTACCTTTTCTTCATCTCCACATCCCCAGTAGCTCACCAATGTCCAGTATACAACAGGGGGTCACTTGTTGGTTGTCTTTATTTTCTTGGTGACTCTACTCGGACTTAGGATATGTCAGTTTCCCCTCTTGACCTCCACACTCAGATGTGTTAATAAAAGTGGATAAAGGCCACTCTAGCTTTAAAACCCCGCCAATACAGAGAGAACTCTGAAACCAGAAGCAGAAGCTGAGGAATGGTGAATAGAGCATTTTCTCTCACATAATGGGTATTAGGGTGGTAGCTTATCCCCCGAATGCCTCTGCAGAATTTGACCCTAGTTTTTCAAATTGGACTCAAGAATGATCTTAGTGTTGGTGGTTTTGTGGTTTTCTTTGAAACTCTGTTATTGACAGAACAGCTTCCGGAAATCTGAAAAGAAAAAAATGTAGTTTATTTATTAGTTTGGAATATGAAACGTATTTTGTCACGGTGTCTGGAGTCCAAATACTGATCTCCATGGAGGTCTCCTCCCTCTGCTAATCCTGATAACTTATAGTACTGAAGAGGCAGCAGAGCCTGAAGACCAAAACACTTCCCAACTGCTGACGCACTGCTGCAGTGTGGTCAGTTACTGATCTACCATTTATGAAGCAGGCCTACAGATGTAACTGTGTGTTCTTCTGGGTAATTTAAATTGACAATTAATTAACAGGTTAGGGCTGGTGCTAGGTAAATATTATAGGTTCGAACCCCAAGTGTGGATTAATTTGCTGTCTTCCATAAGACTCCCTGTTTACCTCCAGCCTGCTGGTCTCCCAACATATGCTAATGATTACATGGGCAGGATTAAGGTCTCTTATTACCTTGTTGGAAAAACTGGAAACTCACCTGTTATTGCTGGTGGTTAGATACCTCAACTAAGTAACATATTAATTAAAGATATTAGGCTGGGCATGGTGGCTCATGCCTGTAATCCCAGCATTTTGGGAGATCAAGGCAGGCGGATCACTTGAGGTCAGGAGTTTGAGACTAGCCCGGCCAATATGGTGAAACCCAGTCTCTACTAAAGATACAAAACTTAGCCAGATATGGTGGTGCGCACCTGCAATCCCAGCTACCCTGGAGGCTGAGGCAGGAGAGTCACTTGAACATGGGAGAGGGAGGATGCAGTGAGCTGAGGTCACACCACTGCACTCCAGCCTGGGCAACAGAGCAAGACTCCATCTTCAGGAGAAAAAAAAAAAAATAAAATAAATGCAAAAGGAAAAAGAAAAAGAAAGTCCCCAACCATCAGTTGTCATACTGTGACCCCAAGAAGATGTAACTTTTTATTAAATTTTAAATACAGATGTTTATTTTTACCTCACTATTTAAGCAATTTAACTTCAACCAACCCCTTAATTTGAGTTGAGGATGCAGAGTATATAAACGTTTGTCAGTCAAACATTTTGCCTGCCATCAATAGTTACTCAATAAATAGATATATTTTTAAAGAACACACAGCTAAATAGGGCAAGTAAAGATAATTGAGTTTTATGTGTTATGATACAATAATGAATTTTAAACTTTCCAAAAGTACAATAACTGGTCTAGGTTCTCAAGGGTAAGTTTATACAAATACAGTTTCTGGAAATAACTATACAAGCCAACATTTATTGAGCATTTGCTGTGTGGTAAGCATACAGATGATCTGATTTAATCCTTATAATAACCTGGGATGTTAAGTACTATTAATATGTTGATTTTACAGATGATAAAATCCAAGGTTTATATAGGGTAAACATTTTTGCAAGGGCACAGATTCATCGTAAGACGGATTTTGGGGGCCTGACTCCAGAACTTTAGAACTCTATAATGTAATAAGGTGAAAATAAATTTATTTCCAGAATTCCAGATACTGGCACTAATGCATTTTTAAAAATTATAAGCAAGAGTGTTTAAAGAAAAGGTAAACGCATGGAATGCAATGTTATAAATGAAAATACAAGCGATGGCCAGGCGCAGTGGCTCATGCCTGTAATACCAGCACTTTGGGAGTTCAAGGCAGGAGGATCACGAGGTCAAAAGATCGAGAGCATCCTGACCAACATGGTGAAACCCCATCTCTACTAAAAAACACAAAAATTAGCCGGGCGTGGTGGTGCGCTGCTGTAGTCCCAGCTACTCCGGAGGCTGAGGTTGCAGTGAGACGAGGTTTCGCAACTGCACTCCAGCCTGGTGACAGAGCGAGACTCCGTCTCAAAAAAAAAAAAAAAAAAAGAAAAAAAAGAAAAAAGAAAACGAAAATACAAGTAATTAAAACTACTGCCCCTTACTTTGTTAACCTGCCTTGGGTTACAGAAGGAAATTTGGATAATTCTGGATTTTGCCTTGTTTTTTAATGGCTATATTTCTTTTATTTATTTTGAGACGTAATCTCACTCTGCTGCCCACGCTACAGTGTGCAGTGGCGACATCTAGGCTCACTGTAACCTCCACCTCCTGGTTCAAACAATTCTCCTGCCTTAGCCTCCCGAGTAGCTGGGATTACAGGCGCACACTACCACGCCCAGCTGATTTGTATGTTTTTAGTAGAGTTGACCAGGCTGCTCTCAAATGATCCATCAACTTTGGTCTCCCAAAGTGCTGGGTTTACAGGCGTGAGCCACCGTGCCCAGCCTGTATTATTTCTAGGTAACATGTCATGCTGGCTTTGTGACTAATTTTGTGTATAAGTGAGTGGCATAATTTGTCAGTCTGCTTTTAAATGTAACTTCTTAAAATAGCAGCATTTATGTGTATATGATACTGGCTTGCATTTGAGGTGGGTATCAGAAAAGAAAGCAGAAAAATCCAACTTGCCTTTTTCACCGGGAGTATGGGGGCTTCTTTGGCCAAATCGTGCGCGTGCAGGCTCCATGTGCTGGGCAGCGGCTGTCAGGGCCACAGCCTGTCGGCTGCATCCTGCTCCTCTACAGAGGCTTCTCCAGAAAAAGAACAGATGGAGGGGTGAAGATAAGTAAAAGCGGCACTT